TAGACTCACAAGCTGCTCTGTGAGATAAAGGCTTGGTTACTTCTGTAAAGATTTTAGCTCTGTATATTTTTATAAAACTGTTATATTCTGGCATGTGTTTTTGTTATGTGGCATTAAGTTGCCTGCAATTCATGTGTACAATAGCTCTGAATCCTGCCCTATCCTGAGCCAATTTCATCATCTCCAACACACCTATTCCCACTACTCCAGTTACTGGATCAATCCATCTCATCCAGGGGCCTTCCTCTCCTGGGTTGCCCCTCCACCCTTTCAAGCATGATGTCCTTCTCTAAGGACTGGTCCCTCCTGGCAACATGCCCATAGTATGAGACTGAGCTTCAAAATCTTTGTCTCTAAGGAGCAGTTTGGTTTCACCCTCTCCAGGCAATACCTGTTAATTCTCTTATCAATCCACGATACCTTCAATACTCTCCTCCAGCACCACAACTCAAAAACATCAATTCTTGACTCCCATTAAAAAAAAAGTGATCCAGCAGAGTGTGAAAATTATCAAACAATACCATTAATATCACACACAAGCAAGGTCCTACTGAAGGTTATGCAAAAATGACTGGAACAGTACATCAACAGAGAACTGCAAGATGTGCATGCTGGATTTAGAAGGGGCTGTGGAACTAAAACATTTTAGGCCATGTTCCATGGATCTTAGCTTAAACCAGGGGAATGTCTGTGTTTCATTGACTCTGCAAAGACACTATACTGTGTGGATCACAACAAATTGTTAACCTTGAGAAGAGTGGGAATCCCAGAACACTTAATTGTGCTCATGGGAAACCTATACTTGGACCATTCTGGAAGCACTTATTAGAAAAGAGCAAGGAAACACTGCATGGCTCAAAATCAGGACAGGTGTATGTTGGGGATGTGTCCAATCTCCACACCTTTTCAATCTGTGTATGGAAGATCATCTGGGAGGCTGGAATCTATGAGGAGGAATGTGGCATCAGGACTGGAGAAAGATTCATCAATGACCTGTGAGTGAACTCAGTCCCTTAAGGGCAAATACTGTATAAAACCATTATTATACAAATAGAAAGATCCCCGGTAAAACGTGTGAGGATCCATGAGGGAAAGGGTAGGATCAGGGGGAGGGGATGGGTAGAGGGAATGTCATAGGGTTGGACAACTCAATGGATGGAGGGAGAAGTGGGTAAAGGAAGTGGGAAGGATCCAGCAAGGATCCAGAAAGACATGGGCAATGGGCGTAATTCAATGTTGATTAAGTTCATACAATACAATGAATGAGGAAAAAGAATAGGGAGCTCTGGTGGCCTAGTGGCAAGAAGCTACACTACAATCCCAGAGGTGCATAGTTCAAATCCACCAGATCCTTTGCTGGAGAAGGAAGGGAAATTTCCTCTTGTAGCAATCAGATCTAATTTGATGGCAAACTCACAAAAAATAGTTAAAAAATATAATGAATGGAAATTATTGTATGAAACTGTGAATGAAGCATATGATTAAGCACAATATAGAAGAACTTTGTAAGCAATCCAATATAAAATTAAAAAAATTATTTAATAAAAAAAAACAAAACAGAAACACCCAAACTGTGTTATGCAGACGAGACAACCTTGCTTTCTGAAACTGAGGAGGCCCTGAAGCTCTTGCTGTCTTGGATCCTCATTCAACACTCTTAGCACCAGCAGTCAAGACATCAAAATACAACTTGTCTTGGAAAAATGTACTGTCATGGACCATTCCAGAGTGCTTAGAAGCAACTATGTAAGTCTGGAGACGAAGGTGCACCTGATGCAAGTAAGGTCTTTTCAATTACTTGCTATGCATGAGCTGGACAATGCCTAAGGATGACAGAAAAAGAATAGATACTGTAGTAATAGGGAGTTGCTATTAGTTTGGATTTGGGAGTTCTGGTGGCCTAGTTTGTTGGGAATTTTACTCCTAATCCCAAGGTTCCATGTCTTTGGTTGCTCAAACGCACAAGCCTCCGAAGGAGTAAGACGGGCAATCTCCTCCCATGAGGTTTACAGACGTGAAAGTCTAAAAGATGTTCATCTAGAAGGTGGTTCCATTTCAATAGCAATGTTTGTTGTTGTTATGTGCTGTTGTGACCCATAGTGACCCTATATACAACAGCCCTTTCCTGAGCCAGTCTCACTGACTCTAACACACCGACCCCTACACTGGCCCAGTGACTGTATCAATCTATCTCCTCAGCGTCATCTTCTCCTGCGCTATCCCTCTGCCCTTCTGAGCATGATGAACTTCTCCAAGGACCAGTCTCTCCTGGCCATGGACCCAAAGTATGTGAGACAGAGCTTCAAAATACTAGCAATGAGTGAGTGATTTATTAGTTGGAATTAGTTCCACAGTAGTAGATTTGGGGGTTTAGTTGCTTAATCATGAAAGCAAGTCCTTACAAACCTCAGTGCTAAAGAACTTAAGAGAGTATCTACTCTCTTAAGTTCCACAGTAGTAGATTTGGGGGTTTAGTTGCTTAATCATGAAAGCAAGTCCTTACAAACCTCAGTGCTAAAGAACTTAAGAGAGTATCTTTGTGGAGTGAGTATTCACAGGCTTATCTGCTAAGTAAATCCTGGGAGATTTGAGTTCACTTTCTACCTTGGAAGAAAGAGTGTGTTACAAATTTCTGAAAACCAGCTATTGAACATCCTTCAAAACACAATTTTACTCGGATCCACATGGTGTGGGGGTTTCCAAGAGTCAAAATTGACTTGATGGCAACAATTTATGAGCTTTTTTCTCCTATCTATTTTGGTTACCCTTCAACTTTTCATGAACTTTTAAGCAAAACTCTATGTATTCAAATATGTTAAAAAAATGAAATAGAGGTTAAATTAGGAAAGTATGTTTATTTGCAGAAAGAGAAAATTGACCTCCCCTTTTCCTGCTAAAAGTAGGGTGGCTAACAGGTCAGAGTTGGGGCCTGAGGATCAAAAGTGGAGGAAATCATGATGCAATGGTGAAATAAGCCAAATTACAACATGAAGGGGAAAGTGCAATATTCCGATTGGGCCAGGAATTGAAACTTTAGTAGGGATCAGTTCAGCATAGAAACTGAGAGATGTAAAGCTGGTGGGCTGTTGAGGTCTTGGCTAAATATGAAATAGTGGGATTGGTAGCAAAAGCCCACTGCCTGCCTTAATTTTACTTCTAAATAGATGTTCTTACAGAAATACCTTTTCCTTGAGATACATAAAGAGATTTTGAAATTATATTTTCATATTGAACAAAAACTGAAAATAAGCACTCTCCTTCTGCATCCTAAAAGCAGTGGCTTATAAGAAATAGAAATGGAATCTTAGGTTGTATTAACTGCCATGAATATTTGCTAATAGGCAATGTTACTGTATGTTAGGAATAGCAAGCCAAGTAGAAGTGTATGGTCAGTGGGACAATATAGTGTGCTTGATCTCTTCATTTCCAGTGTCATAGATATACATGGCTATTAGGTTAGGGGTAAAAGAAACAGGAGGGGCATGATGCCAACTGTTTAGTAAACAATTATAGAAAGATGTTTATTAAAGCTAGCTCTCACCTGACAGAGAAAAGCATAGTTCTATTATGCACTCTAAATTCAGCATGGTGTAAGCTTAAAAGCAGATAGGTCAAAGCAAAAGAGAAATTTTAAAATCATAAATGTAAAATACAGCTATGTCAGTATATGATAGGAAAATACATTTGCCTTAATCATGATTCATTCTTCCTCTCTGCCCCGAGGTACACAAAGCCACAGTTTACAGAACAAAATTAAAAGCAATTTGGAACTGTTCCACTTCTTAATGTACAAGGCATCAAGCTTTAAAAAGCCATTTTTAAGAGAACTGTTCTTAAACTAAGACATGACTGATTCTTTCTAAAATGAACAATAAAATGACATCACATAATCACTGATGGATAATTCTTTTTTATTAATGTGCGGTATTTAATTCTTAAAAAAACAAACCAACAGACACATACACACACAAGAAGTCACTGAACATTTTCCCATGCATATCTTTTTTTCCTACTTCCCAAGATTGCTCAGCATGATTTTTATTTTTCATTTTCACTGTCCAGAGTTATATTTACAGAAAGATGTACAAACATTGTAGATAGTGGGCTGTGCAATCTTCACATGATTAAAGCTCCACTTCCTTGTTCTTTGTAGGGCTGTGTATAAATGCCAATAAATTTGAGAATTCACCCAACTGTACCTCTTAACCTTTGTTCCCAAAGGTAAAGGGCAGGATTTTTAATCAAGTAGCGATTTATCTTTAATTAGGAAAACATAATAAGGTATTATCACTTAATTGCAATCACTGGTTGGAGAAAGTCACATTTCACAAGTAGTGACCCATGCTGGATTATCATTCTCCTCTTACTGGATTTTGCATCTGTATTTGTATTTGGCAGACAGCCAATAAAAATTACCAGCTAATCACCATGCTCCTCTGCAGTACAGCTGTCAAAGTCACCAACTTCACAGCTGAATAAGAAACCAAGAGGTGCTTTCTAAACCACATCTTGGCAATATATATCTCCTGCTCAGACATTAAGTGTAGATTAAAGTAATTGGATGCAAACAAAATTAACAAAAAACCCCACATGTAGTAGGTTAGAGAACAATCCCACACTTTATTCCTGGTACAGGTAAAAACAGTTTAATGTCTCAAGGCACCACTATGGTTGAACATCAGATACACAGGTAATCATCTAATCTTCCACTATGCCCAAAAACAGTAAATAAATAGCTTGTGCAATTGTGAAAAGCAATTTCTAGAGGACTGTTAGATATACAGTAGGCACGTGGATTATAATACAAATAGAAAACAATGAGTCCTAGAAAAAGCATGTTGAGCACCGTTGTGGCATTGTTTCTATTTTGTAACCTAATACTACGTAAACAAGACATTTACAAAAGGAAAGACTAACTCTTTAAAGTTACACTCAAGCACTCAAGGTTGGGGTTTTTTGTTTTTTGTTTTTTTTTTTGTGCTATATCCAAGTAAGTGAATCTAGTTCGTAGGAGAACTTCTAGAAGTAGTTGGCTCCGGATCAGCCTCTGTTGTACTCGTAGACTCATTCAAGTGTGAGCTCAAGTTTTCCGATGTTAGGTGGGAAGACTTGTAGATGATCTCATTGAAATCGGACCTGATGCAAACCAGAGGAGGGTCATTCAAGGGGTCCTCCACTGACACCTGGGTGTTTTCTCGAGTAATTCCCATGTCTTTGCTGTGTTCCGAAGGGGATTTTCGTTTCATGCGAGTGTAAGTTTTATCCTGGTTCTCCATGCCTTGCTCATTTTTCAAAAAGCGCCCAAAGAACCAGATGAAGAATCCAAACCACACAAAAGCAATCAAACTTGGAACAAAGGCCAGACACTTGACATTTAGGCTAGCCCCGATGTACCTGCTGTGTAAGAACATATCTCCCTCAACATAGGTTTTATTAGTCTGAGGGTTGGTATGATTGGACCTCCACTCCCAGGAGAGCTTGGTCCTGTTCAAATCCTTTAAACTTTCTGAGTCTTTCACCGTATAAATCTTCTGCCCTGGGCCAATATATTGTCCATATTCATGAGGTTTATAAAATATCTGGTTCTTCCACATGTTAAGATCCAAAATCAAGACGAGAAAGATGATTCCATAATTAAACCATTTACCTGCATTGAAAAGGAAATACTGCATTAATCACAGTCATAAAATTGCAAGGTTTCTCCCAAAAAAATGAAGATAATGATATAAATTGTTAATGCTTTATACCAGTTAACAATTAATTTTTTGAGAGTGTTCCCCTTCCATTAAATGAATTGGCAAAGGGAATTCTAGGCATATGAAAACATAACTGTAGGTCCCCAGAGCCATTAATTTATCGTATAAGTACTAACAAGATTAGGTCTCTTTGTTTTAAAGGCACCACATCTATCCTCATTTTGGTTCCATGTAGGTTACTCTCAAGAACATTTCAATTAAAGTTGAAAACAAAGTCCTAATGAAATTCTTAGAAATGTCCAATGTATGATTAAATATCTTACAGTTTTATAATTATGTCTAGGAAAGAAATAAATCATTTTGCAATGTAAGCACAGCAGTATATCAATTGAATTCACATTGCTTTTTGTAGGTGACCTGTTGATTAAACCATTAGTTGATGTGATTCTGATCAATAATCCTTGAGCACTCATTTCAAGACTTTGAAAATAATTACATCAGATTCTCATTGAACAGTATGCATTTTTCAGACATACAAATATAACTAAATCTAATAGATATGTTTTGGAGAGTTTGCAACTAGGACAATTGCTTTGCCGGTATTTAAAATTAGTATATGTAAGACGCTACTTTGTTCTGTATCAGTTATATTTGTAGCTGTGGAAAAATTATTTTCAAGTACTACTAGACTCCTTTATGATTTTATTATAATCATAATTCACTTTAAATTATGCAATATCAAGTATAGTATCATTATAATATTGCAATATGTGCCTCATGGATTGCAGCACATTAAGTGATATATATATATATATATATATATAATGGATTCTAAAAGCTTTAGTGGCAGTTGTTATATGGATTATACAAAAAAATTGTTTCTTTTGTATTTGAAGTTAACAGTATTGAACATTATTAAGGTATTGCTTCACCTTATAACAGAAATTTTGTGACAAGAGAAAGATAGGAACTTGGGCACACACATAAAAGCCAAGAATATTAAAAGGTATTTTTTAAATATCCTATAATATGCAGAAATATAAAAATATATATTTGTGAAGGAATTAATATTTATAAGCATTATTATGCATCTTCATATTATTATTATGTGTAAGTTGGAGGATTTTAATATTGGAACTAGAACTCATTAATTATGTTACTTTTGGCTAGCTGTTTAGATTCTCCAGTTTATATACAGTGAAAAATAATACTTATTAACATTGTTAACATTATATAAGATAATGTTATTTAAAGCATAGGTTTAGTATATGTTGTTGTTGTTATGTACCATTGAGTTAACCCTAAATACAGCGTCTCTGAACCTTGCCCTGTCCTGAGCCAGTCTCACTAACTCCAGCACACCAACCCCCATTTCTCCAGATATTGTTTCAATAACACATCTGGGGTCTTCCTCTCTTGCACTGTCTCTCCACTCTTCCAAGCATGATGCTCTTCTCCAAGGACCAGTCTCTCCTGGCCACGTGCCCAGAATATGTGAGACAGAGCTTCAAAATTCTAGCATCCAAGGAGAAAATGGGTTTCTCCCTCTCCAAGACAGACTTATTTTTCTTGTTAATGCCTGGCATTTAATAGAGACTGTATCATTATTAAAATATTTATCATCAAAGTCATGATCATCTCTTGATCCAAGTGAGATGATATAACTGATATATTAAGAGAATAAAGACATTCCCTTTGGGTACTGTGTTAAGTGAGGGGCTGCCTACTAAAAGGTTGGGAGTTGGACTAAACCAGCTGTTCTATGGAAGAAAGATAGGTAGTCTTCTCCCTTAAAGAGTTCTTGGTTCAGAGACCTGATAGAGGGCCACCATGAATCATGACTGACTGGCCATGGATGGGGTTTGAAATGTTTTACTATATTAAGGCAAAGTATAATTTCACCAGTGTGAAATAGTTCAATTATACATTACATATTGCTGTTGAGTTGGTTCTGACTCATATTAACCAAAAAAAAAAAAAAAAAAAAACAGGGTAGAATTGATTCATAGGCTATTTAAGGCTGTAACCTTTATAGAAACAGATTGCTAGATCTTTTTCACATGAAGCAATTGGTAGGTTTGAAACTATAGATCTTTTAGTTAACAGTTGAATACTTAGCTACTGCATCACCAAAGCTCCTTTTGGTTCAAATACTCAGGATTTATATTATTTATAATGTAAACTTTTGAGCAAAGACCAGATGAGTTGTGGGAGGATGTCAAAGGTATCATCCAGGAAGAGTGCAAACGGTCATTACAGAGACAGAAGAGGAAGAAAAGACCAAAATGGATGTCAGAAGATACTCTGAAGATTGCACTGGAGCGTAGAGAAGCCAAAGCACAAGGAAGAATT